ACGAGTTTAAAGCGGATTTGCGACAAGCACCCTGGAACGTTCCACGCAAGCTGCATTATTGCTGTTTCGAGTATTTGCGTTATCGTACGACCGGCGTTCTTGTTAACCGGCGCGCTTTCGCCGAGCGAACAGTGTCCACTGTGTCGTGTTCACCTCTGTGTGTTTCGGCAGAGGGGGGGATGTGTTGTTGAAGAAGAAAAAAAATTATGGTTTAATTTCGACGTGTGTGCGCTTCGCGTGGCGCGTCGGCTTTTGTGCCCGATAAATTATTATAGAAATTATTTTCACGTCGAAGCTTTTATGGTGTTATTCCAGAGTCGCGGAGAAACGGTGGAATAAATGAAACGAACGAAATATTTTTGATTACTTGCCTCGTTCGGCGAGTTCGTTATTTGCCACCGCCGGGGCTTTTTGCTTTTGTATTCACATTTAGAAATCGGCGAGTCGAACTGAAATTTAATTACGCGAGAAAAGATAAGGGAAGCAACAGATGTATGAAGAAAATTTGTTCCCGCGGAGAGTGGAACACGTTGTCAATATTGCAGCGCGAAAGTTGCTCGCAACGTTTCTCCGATTTTACTTGGTTAAAAAGTGATGAAACGCTTCGACGAGGTATAGTCTTGATTGACTTTTGGCAAAGGAGATTTAGAGTCGGATAACGGAGACGGTGAAAGAGATAGGTAGCCTTTCTGCTCGCTCCTATTGTGTTCGTTTTTTCGTAGCTCTCTCTCCTTCTCTATTTTCCTCTCCATTACACTCAGATTTCCTTTCCTCCTCTTTTTCTTTTCTTCGCTACTTTCTTTCTTCCTTCTCCCATTTTTCTTTCCCCCCTTTTCTTCCATTCTGCACTCTACTTCTCTCTCATATGTGAAAATTCCTCTATCCTATTCGTAGAATAATTTTTAATTTTCCTTTCCAATTTTCAGTTTTGATAATTATTGATAATCGATAACGTCGTTGATACATACTTTTAATACTACTTCAAAAAAAGAACAAGATACTGTACAGAATGTTTCCTACTTTTCCGAAAAAATTGTAGCATAATAATTTGCAAGATGAGAAGAAAATGTTATATGAAATTTCGTAGCCTGAACATGTTTGTACTAAGATATTTTTTGATGTCTGATAATTAATCCTCATTTCAAAATAATCTGTGTTGATACACGCTTGACGTCGATATAATGTGAAATTTATCACATTCTTGAGAATCTCGATTACCAATTCGTTGAATTAATTCTTCACTCGCGTGTACTTCTGCATTTTTTAATTTTCATTTCTACATTACATAGTAAATTCAATATCAATTTTGCCAATGATGCTTCGAAATAAAATATAAAATTTTACGTTTTATATTTTTGTTACACCTTTCAACGACGCATTAATGAACTGTTCGCTACATGATGTTTTAGTTTCGTTTTTACCTATAGAATATACTGGGAACATTTGAATATTAAAATTCGGGATATCCTGTGTAATATATTTCTCTTAAACAATATTTGTAGAAAAAAAAGTTTGCTCACATGCGGAGGATTTAAAATCTAATCAAGTCGCTCTTTGTTAAAATTGACTTGCTGATAAAATCGACAAAACAATTTAACATAATTTAATATTATTATAACACGATCATTGTAATATAATTATTCACTATATAATAACTAAACTGTCCTGTTGATCGAATTACTCTGCACGCAACATGATAGTTAAAATGTCTCCTAAACAATACAGTTTTCTCGATTTGCATATCGATTAATATATACTTTCTTACAGAGAACGAGTCGAGTTGTATCGATTAGCGCGTTAAAGATTATACAGTTCCAGACTTACAACAGATTGTAACCCCCCTCGAAACCATTTACTTTTTATCTGATTCTTTCATATCACACTTCATCAGCAATTCGCATTTATAAATTATTCACGTATCCACGATAATATGAAAACTCAATATCAAGGGGGTGACTTCCCCCCCCCCCCAGGGAAAAAGAAATTGTTATCGCCATCACGTGAACTACATTTATACAAAGTTCCAAGTCCCTTAAAAATTCCCACTTGCCGAATTTGCCACGCTCGTTCAGCCACCATCTCCAACTAGTGCCTCTGAAAAATCTGACATCATCCTGCTGGTCGTTAAACGTAGCTCGTCGGGAACACATTCGTCGAATCGTGCGAACTCGAGGCCCTCGGTCTCTTTGTGCGACCGAGCAATCGAGAATTTTATACCCGCGGACGGAAATAATTCCATCGTGTCGATGCTCACCCCTTGCCGATTTCGCATTCGAGTCGCACGCGTCCGTCTCTATCGTATCCGTATCAATGGGGGAAAGAGAGAGGGTTGCGCGTCGCCGAGCCGACGACGAGGCACAAAAGAGAGGGGCGAATAGACCGAAGAGAGTGGCGGATGTATTTGCATTACATTATCGAAGTTAACGCGAACGGTCGCGAGATCGCGGCGAAAACGGAAATTATACAAGGGATCGAGTTATTGGCCGGCGCTGCGACGAAAAACCGCCGCGAATAACGCGAGCGAGCCAACTCATTTCCGGTTCATCCGCCATTCAACGGACGAATGACGCGCGAATGACCTTTCTGTTCTTTTTTTTTTTTCTTCCACCACGTCGGTCGTTCTCCGAGCGAGACAGCATCGCTGCGAATTAGATTTGTAAATTTACATTAATTTTGGTTAAAACTAAAAAAAAGACAAAAGTTGAAAGGGGGAAGAAATAGAATCGTCAGGCGAGATCGTTTAATGCCTGGCGTATTTTTCCAATTAACCGAGCGCGGATAAATTCGAGCGCAACTTTCCTTGACTGACGCGCGCACTCTTCTCAAATTCGTGGTATCTCGGGGACGGGAATGAATTAGCAACGGTCGTGCCGTTATTTTCGTTTGTTCCAGACGACGATCGTTCGTATTAAAAGTACCTACTGGAATTTTCACGGGGGAAGGGTGGTTTTCATGGCGGCGTGCGTGATTAGAGGGAATATGAATGTAACGAAGAGTGTTGGTCTTCATTACTGCGTATAAATGCAGTGAAAAATTTTCGAACTCAAGCCAGTAATATTGCGGATGCGTGCGCCACTTGTCTCGATTTTTCTAAAGTTTCAAATATTTATTTTCTTTTGTTCAACAGGATCGTTGTTGTAGTACGTTAATTTGCCGATATAAATCGGTCAGACTGCGAAAATCATTTCTCTGATGGTATTACAAACTAAATAAGAGAGAAATTGTAAAGTGTAAAATGATACGAAAAAATGTTAAAAATATCTATATAAGTCGGTTTTCTTTATCAAACTTCTACTTTACTAATTGCATTCCCAAAGATATGAATTTGCGTAAAAATCCGCAGTGTAGAAATGCTGGACAGATTTCTTGGTAGATTTCGCGAAATAAATGCAAATAATTTATCCAATATCTAAGAATAAGTGGAAGAAACTAAAAATAAGAATAAAAGGAAGCAAATAATATTTTAGTCCACTAGAACTGTTGTCTATAAAACGAAGATTATGTCTTACTACAATTGAACGTAAAAAAATAATCCCTACAATGTTGTAAACTCTTAGGTTCAACAATGATATAATGCTCGTCAGACAATAAGCAAAGTAGATGTTTCTTGTTTTTAACAGGTACACCAAATCTTTATCGCAAAAATTTTAAACATTACAGTCTACAATTCTAACATTCTAAACCATCGCGACTCGATAATTTTCTAGTTCCAGTTTATTACAAATAGAATCACGTTCCGTGACGAAATCATCCGCTTATCCTTTCCTTATCGGTGTCGTAATTTCTGCTCGTGCGAGCAGGAATCGAAGCAGATCGCGCTTCTAAATTTGATCCCGGGGGCTAATAATAATAAAAAAAAACCGGATAAGGATTCGCGTATACGAGCGGCGAGAGCCGAGAGGCGAGTGAAGTTACGAGCGTTAACGCACCCGGCTTAAAAGCAAATGCTAATGAAAGCTAGATCGCCGATGATGAAAATAACTCGCGCGCGGAGCCGTTTAATAACATAGATCACGCGTGTCGATTATTCACCGTGCTTTTAAGCGAAATCTGGCCCCGATCTGGCCAATAAGCCACGCTCCGAGAAGATACAGCAACTGCAAGAATTACCGTTTCAAATTGTATTTATATTCAGCCGGCGTCTGACTGATAAAGCGTCGAGTGGAATATTCAATCAACCGGCGGGGAGGATTGAAGGGAGGAGAGAAGGACGAAGGACGCTGAGAGACGAACGAGCGAGAACGAGGCGATGGTGAAACGATCTCCGAACAACTGGTGGATGATAAGCCTGTTGATCGGGCGCTGCTTGAGCATTCCTTACGTGGCGAGGGCTGGAGGAATAACGTCGGGCCCCAAAGCGGGGGTAAACGATTCGACGCTTTCCGAGTGTTTACGCCGGCGGAAAAGAGGGCGTGGATACGTAATTAGACGCGAAACCTCTCCCTCTCTTAATTCCCACTTTATCTTTATTCCGCCGACGACGCGATTTATCCGAATTTACTCCGAGGGTGGCTCGTGGAATTTTACTTCGAATTTTCGGCTCGTCACTCGAGATGCTGTTTGAACGCTTCTGGGAAACTCTTAACTTTTGAACGTATCGTATTCGGGTGTTGCGTAAAATATCTTGGAATTTTACTATTATTTTATGATTTTTTATTGTTAAGTTCGATTATCTTGATTATTGGTCAAGTTCGAAGCAAATCTAGAAATACGTACATACATACGTACCGGAATGATAAGATATTTAACATACTTATCTATTGGCTTCTAAGTTCTATATACAACTGTCTGAATGTTTGTGGGAAACTTTTAATTCTTGGATATATCGTTTCGGGTGTTGCGGTAAAATATCTTGGAATTTTATTATTACGGGGAATTATTGGTCAAGTTGGAAGTAAATCTACAAATACGTACATACGTACAGGAATTATAAGATATTTAATGTATTTAACGTGTCTATTGGCTTCTAATCTATAAACGACGAAGGGTCAAACACTCACCTGAACATCCTTGGTGAACTGATTATTGCAGTAGATGTGAATGGCCGAGAACTCTCTGACCTTGTCGAATTCGAATTTAATCTCGACCGGTTGCCCGCGCGTGTCGTTCCTCCAGCCGACCCATCCTTGCGTGCGATCGTTATCGTAGTATCCCAGTTTGAAGTTATCAGGACCGGTCCTGCCGTCTGTCAACTGACCCAAACCACGCCGCAGCTCACCGTCCCAGTGTCCGTCGTAGGTGGCGTCGAAGAATTCCCATCCGTTACCTCTTTTATCACCTTGGGGCATCGAATAGGACACCACGCCATCTGCGATCAAGAGGTCAAGGTGTAGAGTCACCGTCGAGTGGTCGTCTACCTTCTAATGACCCGTGTAAAAGCTTTCGACTTTGTCGGCGGACATCGTTATTATCGCGCAGAAACGTGATACGCGGCAGAAAGAACAGAGATTAATGAGATTACAGTTACTAACAAATGTTTTGACCCACACAGCGTGGATGTAATTAGCGAAGTATGTATGTATTAGCGAAGTAAGTACACCTCGGTTCAAAAGTTTCGAGCGGGAACGTTTATTCAGCGACGCGAGGACACGGCTATCTTTAAAGTTCTCTGTTTGGACAGAAACGTAATTTGTTCAATTTTGGTTATTGTCATTAAAGATCGTAGTGATTTATATGTAGAATTGACATTTGTACAATTTTAGTAATTGTCACTGTGTGATTTGTACAATTTTAGTTATTGTCATTTAAATCATTGTGAATTGTATGTAGAATATTTTGACATTTGTATAACTTTAGTGATTGTCATTTAAATCATAGTGATTTGTATGTAGAATATTTTGATATTTGTACAATTTTAGTTACTTAAATCATAGTGATTCATATGTAGAATATTTTGACATTTGTATAATTTTAGTTATTGTCATTTAAATTATAGTGATTTGTATGTAGAATATTTTGACATTTGTACAATTTTAGTAATCGTCATTGTGTGATTTGTACAATTTTAGTTACTGTCACTTAAATCATAGTGATTTGTATGTAGAATATTTTGACATTTGTACAATTTTAGTGATCGTCATTGTGTGATTTGTACAATTTTAGTTATTGTCATTTAAATCATAGTGATGTAGAATGATTGTATGTAGAATATTTTGACATTTGTACAATTTTAGCAATTGTCATTGTGTAATTTGTACAATTTCAGTTATTGCCATTTAAATCATGGTGATTTATATATAAAATATTTTGATACATATTAAAGGCCGGTTATTCAAGTGTTAAATATAACTGAAGGATAATTGCATTTCAACATGAATTACATCGAGTAAGTATAATTGAAGAAACAAAGCTTTATCGACGTAGTTAAATTTTAGATAAAGATTGTATTTTACTACTTATCCCGAAAGATTAATAACAATGCTGTTAGATCTAACAGCTTACTGTTGCAATTGGTACATCAAATTTTTAACATTTATTTTCTGAAGAAATTTCGAAAGTCGTTCTAAACTAAGTCCTTCAATTCATTAACCCTTGTCCTTCGACTGATGGAAATAATAATACATTACAAGTGGAATATATTTTCATTACTTCGGAAAGTCATCGTCTTCTCCGCTCTAAACATTTTGAACAGGAGTGTACAACGAAAAAACGAAATAGAAAGAAAGATGGCAAAAGAATGTGCGCCCGTTTTTAATTAAATACCTTGAAAAAAGGATATCCCGTCCGAACCAACATCGTTAGTTGATTAAAATCTCCATTAAACGTGCAAGTTCGCAGTTCTTTCGTTGTAATACTCATTGACGCAAGGGGGCAGAGGGGGAGAGGGAGAAATAGAATGAATGAACTCGGGCGCAAGTTTCTGGCAAAACGCCGGAAGGCGTTTGGATTCACAATTAATTGAACTTGCACGCATCGCGAACGGCGCAAGACACAATAGCCCCGGCTCTATGTTACTTGATGTGTACCTTTCCGTTTGGTTGGACGTTTAATTCGATGTTGGTTCATCAAAGGAAGAAAGGGATAATTGTACAAGCAAGATTCTGAAAAGCAAATTTGCGCGCACGGCAATGGCATAAGGGTTAATGGACAGTCCGGCGAGTATTCTAAGCGGCGCGCAAGTTCAACGAAAATTGGTGAGTGCAAACAGCTTACCGCTCCAGTAACATCCGTAGAGCTCGACCCGCATGCAAACCGTCCGCGTGTGATGGCTGTAGGGCAGAAAACGGATCTTGCTCGCCCACAGAGGCGGCTCCAGCTCGTGCTTGGACTCCAAATACGTGTTCGTGTTACCCTGTATTACCTGCAACCGTGGAAACCGTTGGTTAAAGATCACGACAATTCCGGTCTACCGTCTAACCTTTGGGCTTCGTCCCTTTCACGCTTCAGCAGAGAAAACCAGCATCTCTCTCCTTCTCTCTACTTCTCCCCCCTCCCCCCCACATACTTTCAACTTAGATCATTAGGAACATATACGTCACTCGGAGACACGGTCCAACTTTGCTCAACTCTCGAGCAGCGTACGAAAGCGGAGGAAAGTTCCAACGAATCGCCCAGACGACGATTCGTCAGTCGTTCAACGAGTTCCTCGGCTGTTACTCGGTCAGACTTTGCTCGTGTGTTTCGGGCGAGCGACCTATCTCGAAAGCGCGAAGAGGAAAGGCGCGACAGGACGGCGACGTTTCGCGAAACGAGCGAGGAGGGATCGGCGAGGGTGGAACCCTCGTGCTCTCTGGCGCGCAACGTTTCATCGCCGCGCGTATGTGACGTGACGCCAATAGAAAAAGCTATAATCGGCGCGCGTCAACGTGTCTGCGGCAAGGTCGGAGCCCCTGCTGCCTCGTTCCTCGCGTGGTATTCTGCCAAAGCATCCCCCATCGACCTCGTGATGACATTTATATCGCCGGGAAGATGCGTTTCTGCACTTCGGCACATACTGGCATACCACCGTCTGACCGTGGATATCCCGTCGTAGGGCGGACATCGCGTTCCACCGCATCAGACGGTGTGTGGGGGGCTAAGGACTAATTTCATCCCGCATTCCACCACGTTAGGTATGACGAGGGATGAAGGGGTGGAGGACGGGTGGCCGAGCTGGGTATCGATGTGGATAGAGGGGATCTGTTGGATCACAGACAGGTCAAGGAAAACCTGTATATAGCCGACAGAGAGAGAGAGAGAGAGAGAGAGGGTTTGAGTTAAACGTCCATCGCCCGCATTCTCTGATCTTCGCCCAGGCAGACGACCATATTGCAGATATCCCTCTCTCTCTCTCTTTCTCTCTTCCATTCTATTCTCTTTGCCCGTTGTGCGTATACACGTTTCCACGTCTCCGTCTTGGAACGTGCGGAAGAGTGATGCAATATTGATTCCACGTTGTGGGTTTATGAATAAAATAAGCGGTTTATCTGACGTTGGCACAGGCTGGTGTGGACGGCGGCGTGCAGAAACTCCCGAGGTGGAAAAGGGGTGTACGCCGAGGTCCCTGGGGATCACGCGAAGTGGCGTTGCCCATGGCGAGTAGCCACTGCCACGGAGAGATACTCTCTCGTGTGTACACGAGGTGTACGGATACACGTGTAGGTACACAAGGGCGGCCGCGCGGATAAATCCACGTGGACGTGTGTACGAGCAAACCGGCTAGTTTCTTGTGTGTTGCCAACACACAGTTGCGTGACGGAGCATTTTGCGGCTGGCACGACACATTCTGCGCACGTTCCCTACCCTCACACACACACACACACACTATTCCGTGCCATCGGGGGCCGGCTTCTGTCTCTTTTTCGTACGACTAAGCATCGACTTCGACTACTATCACTGTTCCCGCTGTGTTCACCGTTCACCGTTTCTTTGTATCACCGCCGTACACACGCCGTTCGGTGTATATAACCGAGGTGGTCGCTTCTTTCGATTTGTTTGCGCGGTTATTGAAATACCTTTCCCACCTTGTTTTTGGTCGACTGTTTGCTCTCTCTGATATTGGATTACTCGGTCCGCTCGGTTCCTCCGTCTAGCGTGTTTCGAACACGTTGCTATTGAACGTTGTTGTCGAACTGTTTTATCCTCCGTAAGAGGGGATGCCAACGTTATATAGCACAACTGCGCGTAGTTGTTAACTGGGATACGATGGAATTTCTTTGTTACCTGTTTTTTTTTTTTTGTTTTTGTTTCTTTCTCCTGTTTTTTTCTAAATCGTCATTTTTCCTTCGCGTGTATTTCAATTTCTTTGTACGGGGTTTCTCCTATCTCGTAGCGTTGCAAATTCGAAAGGAATGGCTTATTTTCGAGCCGGCAAAGGGAATAACAGACTGAAAGCTTTGGAATAAAAATACCACGCTTGCTGAGAGTGCTTTATAACTTTAGGGGTTTGTGCAAAATCTAACGTCGATTCAGAATAGTGTAAATAAATTACAAGTAGAATGATACAAATCCAGAATGTATAATGTTCTATGTTTAGTAAGTTAGGCAGTATACATTCTCGTTTGTAGATCATCTTTAATAAAATTAAAATGTAGTTACGATTTGTGGCAGAAATGATCATTCACGATTGCAAAAGTTGTATTACTATTTTAACTTTATGATTGTTTCCTAAATTTTTTAATTTGTATAGATAATATGTACAGATTTTCGAAGTATGTTTTGGATCATTGTCCTGTATAAATATGAAGCTTTTTGTCCTATCCTGTTGTACTTTTTGGGTCTATATATTGATTCGAATAGATAATGATCTATATTTCGATTTATGATTTTTAAATATTCGGTTTTAATATTCAATATAACACGACCATGTTTTCTTTACAAACAAATTACTGCAAAGGTATTTTAAGAAACCGAACACGACCATGATGCGAAGAGAATATTCTATTGTTGCTTTTTTAAAAATTTCTACAATTTTTATTAAACGACTGTCATGCTTTACAACTGGCACAATACAGATATTAATTTTTCATTTGTGTTTTTCCTCGCATGCATTCGTCGTTTTGTATTGAACGTTTCGATTCGTCAGTCAACATTTGTTTAACATTCGTACGGTATACATATGGTATACATATTATTAATTTTGCGTCAAGCCATCCGTAAACCATACATTTACAGAATTATACTACATATTCGTATAATAACAAAATTACTAAATAATTAAAATTCAAACAAGATTAAACTAGAGAATTGTATTAGTATTTTATTAACCTCTTGCGCTGGAATGACGTGTCAAGTCTGAGAATTTTTTCTCCCAAAAATTGTAATATTTTCTCAGTTTTAAGTATATCCAAGTAAAACAAAATAGGCAGAGCAAATAATACATTTATTACTCGTCAATAATTTCTATCCAGTGTAATCGACAATGTACAAAAAGAAAGCGACGAATTATCGCACGCTGGTTCGATCACTCGTTATGGTCCGCAATCAGTTGCCCAGCGCAAGTGGTTAGTAATCATCCAGCTCAAAGTGAGCAAGCACTAAGTGACTTATGGACGAGAGTGTATGTAACTCCAACAAATATTCTATCAAACCCTACTCTTGGAAAAATATTTTCCAACGTACGTAAAAAATACGAACGCGAGAGACGTCGAATACGAAACGTGCCGGCCATACGTATCGACTACTCTTTATAAATATATAATTAAGGTTTTTCAGCGTTGGCGAGCAACCCTTAGGCTTTCTCTGCTCCGGTTGGTCCTGTCCAGGCTCGCAGGTCATCGTTTCCTTCGAGAAACTGCCACTTGGAAAGCACTCCCCAAGGTGAACCCTTACCTCCTGGCCGGCGTATACCTCGCAGAACCCACCCTTCTGTCTGGGATCGATTCTTTCTCATTTCGGGCACCCAGGGACCCGTGCCGGTGGCACGTTACACCATCACCGTTGCCACGCTTGCTCTCTCCACTGGCGTAGAGGCACACGTTTGTTCGCCAGGAATTTAATGAGATTGCAACGTGCGAGCAGAATTTAATTTCTCGAAATGGGTCTCCTAAATCTATCGCCCACGGTGAGGGATTCCCTCTCAGTATGTTCTCCGTTCTCGGCCACCCTCTCCCCCTACCCTTCCCCTCTCGCGTGACATTGAAATTGAACGGACGATAGTTTTAGAGTTAACGATACAGTGGTACTGTTGGAAAGAGATCTTTATTACATCGCCGATTGGTACGTGCATACCTCTGTTATAAAGATCATTCACGGGAGAATAAATGAAATTCTACTATTCGTTCACCGAGAAAGTGGTGACTCTAAATTTAGCGCGGCCTATGAAATTTCTGCATTGAATTTTCATGTATAATAATTTTCTTCTTCATTTAATTTTATTAATTGAGAATTTACTCTGGTAATCGATCACTTATGATGTGTAAATTACCTTGTACTTTTGAATACATATAAACACGCCGTACATTTTTTTACTTTTCAATTTCAAAAGCGAATAAAAACCCGTTATCTGCTAATAAAATTAACTCTCGAATATCAACTTATTTTGAAAAATAAACTCAACGTAGTCTACCCTCCATGATAAGTATTTGGACAGTGTAATTCGATCAGAAGACTAATATTTTTAACTTTCATAACGAAATAATGTTGTCCTTAACATTTTACTTGTTGCAACAACTGTTGTTGTCTTGTTAAACTGAATTTATTTCATCGTTCAAGCTCTATGTTTGTAGAATCTTTCAGGCTAGAAATACATTTCAAACACGCAACAAATTCAATTATTTGTTAAATGCCTCTGCAAGCTACATACCCATCCATCTTTACTTATGCTAATCAATATGATCATCTATTACTTTTATCAATATCTTAGCAAATATTCTTCCGAGATTTACGAACAAAGTATTTAAATGCGTCGATATCTGCGCTTCCATTTGAATTTGTATAATCATTTATATGAAGTATATTTTACACGACGTGTCTAAATACTTATCAACGGCAGCGTACATTCAACAACAGAGTTCTACCATCCCGTACCGCTTTACCTTATCACGCGACTCGAGTTAAAATGTCAACGAAGCAATTCAGCCCCCGCGTACATCCAGATTACCTCGTGCTGTTCGTTCCAGCGACTCGCGTGATTTCACAGAACGAAAGGGATTATAGAATGTATTTTTTCCGAGGGTCGACGCCAGTGAACAGATGCACGCCATTCTTTCGCGTACAGCCTTCGAGGGGAGGGGTGATGACTGTAAAGGGTGGATATTACTTTTCATTACCCTGGCTGCGCGAGGCCTTCGAAACGCTAGACGACCTTGCAACTCTACCTGCCATCTACTACACGTACGTACATGCACACGCATACACATGTATACACGTACAGATCGAAAG